TTTTAAAACACTAAATGAATTTATTATTTAAGAAAAACGACTTGGAACGACTTTTATTCTCTTTCCTGCAATTTTCTTCAGATTTATTTTTTTTCCTTACTAGGGCCTAATGATACCTTATATTTCATCAAAGTGTATACGCTACTGAGGACTTCTACGGATAGCTTACTGCGCATGCACTGAGGCTGCGCAACACTGGCGCCGAATATCATTCATGTACAGGTTTTAGAAACTCCCGTAAGGGTGATTCACTAACAAAGCATAAAAGTTTCGTGATCTTTCCACCGATCATGCAGCGCTGCTATCGTTTTGCCACGAACAAAATGCAGTCCACCAATTATGATACTAAATTGTGCAAGACGATTGCAGTGCTCTCATTTCGTGGCAAATTTTGGAACTATACTTAACCGCGATAAAGAATCTCCTCTCCGCAATAGTTCATTCCACAAAAGAGGATTTGTCAGGAATCATTGACCAATCAGAAATAAAAATTTAAATACGGTAAAACACTTGGTATACTTTTTATACAAGTATCGACTATTAATATTTGTAGTAGACAATTACACAAAAATAAATTACATGCAATAAGAATTTTACAAGTTTTATACTGATGTAAATTGTATTATATTAATATGCAATTAGAAAATAAAAGGAATTGTATAAAGATCAAGAGAGGGTAATAAAGAATTGATACAATTATAATTATATGAATTTTAATATTTTAATATATAATATTTGATTAAATAAAAAGTGTGTATAAATTTTTGAACACAGTGTATAGTTCATATGGTAACATCATGACTGTTTTACCAGCAGCTTACGGAATAAATAATAGATGGCGATAATTTACATAAAATTAGTATTTCGTTGACCTAGGAAGCGATGGAACACTGGAGGACTTAGTGTTTGCGAAGATCGCAAGGGGGTGGTGTAATTCATGACACAATTACGCGAATAGAAATAAATTAGAATTCAACATTTACCGCACATTTATTTTTAAACGCGTCAATTCCGATACACGTTACTGTATACCAAGATTCAAGAAAGTGTCTTGCTAATTTATTTTAATCACGTTACAACTTTTAAGAGACGCGCGCATTCTTCTGAAATTACACACCATTATTCCAAAAAGTGTATACATTGTGTTATACGATACTTTTAATTTTAAGTGTAACTCGATAAGATCGTATCATCTTATAAGCTTCGGAAGACAATCGTATTACCAAGGTAAAAAAACACAAATTGTAATTTTCAATTCCCGAAAATAATTCTGCATGTTTATTTTTTTGAATTCGTTACTAATTTGCGTAATCGATAACTTTGATTCGACTTGTCATAAATCCATCTGCATGAGATATGTATAGATATATCGTCTCATTTAGACAACCGGATATATTCGCACAGTCAAGGCTAACTTGACACAGGAAGTATTTATTAACCGGAAATATTTTTTTGTCATTTCAAAATTTCATCGTGAACACGTTTAATGTCAATAAAATTATAAAATCAAAAAATAAATATTTTGCGGTTAACGGTAATCGATCGATATTTTTTGGTTATCAGCCAAACTACCCCGTTTTGCCAATGAAGTTGTTTCAAGTCCTATGAAAGTATGTACCTTTAATTATCTATAAAATTGTCAATTATCTTTACTGTAAATTCTTAGTATTTTGTGTGTCATCGTTTTTGCACGAGATCATTAAAGTCGGAGGTTCTTTTCTCATGAGTAAACGGAAGCGTAGAGGAAGATGTCCGATCCACCCATTGTTTGTGCATGTTCATCCGAAGAGACAGGAAGTTCCACATTACGATCTTCGAAGGCAAGTACAATTACCCTTAACCGAGAAAAACCTATATTGCACCTGAGTGTACGTACACTATATTCATTTTGCATGAAAGATGCTGACCTTACATCATTGCACATGCGTGAAATAACTCCCACCTGATGACAAGGAGCCAATGACAAATCGATATGTTCGAAATTTTAACGCGAAAGCTTTTGACTGTTTCTCTCATCAGTTAATAACGAAATCTCGAGTTCGATGTGTCTCGAATAGTAAGTATAACGGTCACGTGCGGTATCGCGAGACTTTAAGTTAAAGTAAACTGACCGAACTATCAAATTGTTGGATGTCCACGATCGCGCCATTTTTATTGTTTACCAGTTTCATCGACATTATAACTGTAACTATACACTTCGTACACATTTAATTAGCAATTATTACTTGCTTGACAACTATTACTCGCTGCTCATAAAATTCGTATATAATATTTGAAGATTATAATTATCAGCTTTATCATGCATATATTTTTATATTTGTATCTGTGCATTCAATGTCAGATGCGATATATTTAGGTTTATTTTTAGTTGCTAATTCAAAGGTGAAACTTTTTTGAGAGTTGTAAAATTGACGTAAAAGTTATGTGGGTGTTATGTAACCTTTGAATTTTTATAAAATTTTGATGATACGAATAATTTATCTTAAAGGGTGCTTACGGAAAGGGCGGTGAGATATTTATTGACACTAATAATGCAGAATGAATATCTCGAATCTTTTTTCGTATATTTTTAACGATTTTTTCTTATCAACAGACATATATTTATCGGTTTATCTTTGGACAGATATGAATTATAAGATACCAGCAATTTATCATTTTATATAAATGGATCTTAATCTTTGAATAATTTAATGACAGATTATTTTCTGAATGTTATATTTCTTCAAGTGTGGGACCCGGAAGTGAAGTTCTAAAGATGTTAAGATCACCTTTGTTAAACTATATATTGTTTCAAACTTTTTAACAAAATTTAAACGTAAGAATTATGCAACTAACAGTTATACGAAATTTGCACAAGACTAATGAATGTTACGGCTAACAACTATTTTTATCGCAAACATGTTCAGCAACGTAAATTTATGTGGTCAGTGAGCTGTAGCTAATGTTACCGTTTCGGTCTCGCTGTAAAACGTTCATGTATGAAAACTGAAAGTTCAAGGTAAGTATAAAAAGAATCTGCGAGAAAGTTTATCGATTGGTTATCGAGGATTAATTTCGTAATTAATCAAATCGTGACAAATTGTTTAAAGACGCGATATAACACACTGAGTGACAGTATAACGACTATACGGGATGATACGGTAATATAACGCGGGGTGACATAACACGTGGAATATTTTTTCTTTCAACACGACACAAAAACCTCAAATACTGTATTATTAAATACGAAAATATTAATGGAGATTTTTTTTCGACAGGACGAAGGACAATCGAAGGTAGAAGACAGCTGTGAATTAGAACGACCGAACATTTTTGGAACGATGAAAACGATTTGGGTAGTCGGTGGACCTGGATGCGGCAAAGGTACGCAGTGCGAGCGGATCATTGCCAAATATGGATTTTATCACATAAGCAGCGGCGATCTACTGCGAGAGGAGGTTGCCAGTGGCAGCCCTAGGGGCTCTTCTCTTCAAGAACTTATGTCCAAAGGTTTATTCGTCCCAACGGTAAATTGTTATGTCAATAACACCGAACAGAATGCTCGTGACGAAAAGTCACACAAATGTGGATACGTACGAAAAAATTTACGTGACCGTAAATTACGTGTTCGTAAATTTTTTATTTATCGGATAAGTTCACTGTAAAGATTTCTCGGTACAGAAACATGTCACTAGCATATAATGTTTTAAAGAAATCTAAACGAAAGAGATTTACGAACTTTGCATAGTGTGAAGATCCTATGGTTTCCGTTAGGATATAGTACTGGACCTGATAAGGGAACGGATGGAAAAGGCGAAAAATGAAGGAGCCACGAAAACTGGATACCTTATCGACGGCTATCCTCGTGAATTAGATCAGGGAAAACTTTTTGAGAAAAATGTAAGTTCCTAGTTGAGAAATTGTATCTACATTTAAACTCAGTCATACAGTAAATACGTCTGTGATTCATTTAGGTGTGTCCTGTTGATATGATCATCTTCTTTGATGTGGCGGATGAGACGCTGATGAAGAGGCTGTTAGGACGTGCGGCGGTGTCGCAGAGAGCGGACGATAATGAAGAAACGATCAAAAAGAGGATTGAAATATTTAACGAGAAGAATGGGGCAATTGTTGAACATTACAAGGACAAAGTTGTTAGGGTAAGTGACAACAAGTTGTTAGGTTCATGCGATAATTTGCTAGTGAGTTATATTTAAATAACTTGTTTTTATTTTAGATCGTCGCCGAAGGATCAGTGGACGAAATATTTGCTGAAGTTTCCAAAGCACTCGATGGTTTACTAGCTTAGAATTCTAGGTTAAAGAAATTAAGAACCTTTGTTAAAATCGCCTAATTACACGGAAGTCTTTCAGTGGTTTTACTATTGACACGCGATTTGCTTTACAACTGCTACTTTTATGAGATTTGTTTGGCACTTACACGTTAATTGACACCATTATGACAAATTAGAATATGTATTGTAAATTCAAAGTACCTGTCGACGCAAAGCAATATATTAGAGATGTAATTTATTTACAAAAACAATTAGAAAATATCTGTTAACGACAGATTGCCGTTATTGTTTTAAGTGGAAATTAAAATGTATATATTTTGTGAATTTTGGATGTTGATTCTTTTAAAAAGTGTTGCCCTTATCCACCATAATGAAACGTTATTGAACACTTTGAAAAATTCTACTTTGTATTGTACATGCATCATGATGACAAGATAATTAGCTGTATCCGACACTGAATTTCAGTCTTTCCGATATTTAATTACAGCGGGAAATCGTGCACTGAATCAACTTAGAATCATCGTTACGTTACAAAAATGAACAGCGTTGATACAGTTGCAAAATTTTTAACAGTATTTTTAATAATAGATTCAATCGTGTGTCATCCTTGTTGCCAAATCAACTCGTCGAAGTTGCCACGTTACAAATTAATGAAATCTAATGCTCGCTTAAATCAATTCATATTGTCGAGAACGGTGGTTCAAAATGTGAATGAATGTAAGAAATTTGCGCTGGTCAAAAAAGCCCTGGCATTCAATTACGGATTAGGAACGGATTATTACGGTGAGACGAAAATATGTGATATATGAATTGAACATCTTTCATGTATACAATATAAAAAAGACACCTGGTATCAACTGTAAGTATACAGTTATGTATATTACAGAAACCATTGATATAAAAGATTGGAATACTGTTACTGAACACAATAAAGGTGCCAGAACACCTAAAAAAGTGTGTGAAGCTCTACAATGTCCTGAAGTCCACAACTTTACCATGTTAACAAGGGACAGAAATTACAAATACTATAGCACCTATCCCAGCTCCTTGGCACCTGGTAATCAAGATATAAAATGAAATTGAAAAACAAGTGAAACAAAGACTTTTTCTACTTTTAGGTTCTAGCTTCACTCTGGCCTGCATCCCTAGGACAGGAATGTTTATATTTTCACACAATAATTTGAATTTCAGCCAGGCACAGGCAGCCTGCCAGAAAATGAACGCCTCGCTTGCTCACATAATTAGCGAAGAACGTACGCATGGTCTTGCAAAATATATTTCACAAAATGCACCCACTTTTGTTGGACTCAGCAACCGTAATGGCAACAGTGTTTGGCAAAATGAATTCGGTACTTGATTTTTTACATGCAATTCAGTTGGAAATTGAGCCTTTCAGTATGCATTCTAATGTATGGAATAAAAAATTTAACTTAATATATGTATGGAGTTTTTGTTATTTGCATAGAAACAGCGAATGAAGTAGGTGATGTAATTTTCAGATGAACCACTTTCATGTTTTAATTATCGAGCATGGGGCAAGGAAGAGCCATCACACTCAAAGGGATGCATTACTTTGGTACAACCTAAGTCAGGACTTGGTCCTTTTTGGAAAGTTGTACCCTGTGACAGTAGCCTACCTTTTATCTGTGAAATTTCACCAATGTATTAATCAAACCCTTTGAAGCTTATAAATAACGTGTCTGTAAGAGTGAATAGAATTTCAATTGTTAAACAATTAAGAAATATTTGAAAAATAAACGTTATATAATGATAAAGAAGATTATAACTAAGATGCTACTTAATAGTAAGTTCCTAGTATCAACATAATTTGAAGTATTTACATAAAGAAAAGACACTACAATAGCCTAAAATCATAGAATGAAAAGGATAAATAAATACAGTAAAAAACGCAAATGTTAAATATATACAGATGTTTAATATACGGTTACAAGTGCCTTTCTTCATTATTAGCAGAAAAAGATTTACCTAACAAATTATTTACACATTCCAATTGCTAAGAATATAAGATTCATAAGAAAGAAAAAAAATACAATTCTCACTTTTTCTTGATTATATACACGTATACAACTCTATAACTATACACCTAAAAATTGTGCTTTTCTTCGTTATCTTTTTATCTTCTATCACATGCTTTCTAAAGTAATCACTTAATAACTAAAAACCAGCTGCTACGCTGTGTCAATACTTTTGTGAATGGTATAGGAGCGAATAAAAATACGCTATATAATAACAATTTGATTATATCAGTGTCTCGGTGCTTAACACTATTCGATGCAAGTATTTATACAAAATGAAAATATTTAATTTTTAAAACATTTCACATATTATGCGAGCAATACGTATACAAATTATGCATATGTCATACAGTTCAGAAACTGTCAATCAATAACTATCTGAAATGCAGTACGTTTATCCCATATTATAAAAACATTTATTTTTAGTTTATAATTTCATTGTACACTTAGCAACGAGCATAATGGAACAATTTCCATTAGTCAGTTTCAGTACGATTGACTTTCAAATCATAATACAACAGCAAACTCAATAGATATAAAATGCAGTAAACATGCTTTCTAATGTCTTTTTATGAAAGTTGTCATTTCCATTTGCTTAAATAAAAACTACGAATTACAAGCAAACACAAATAACAAGTTTTGTTCTGGATATTACAAAATGTGCAATCATGTATCCGGCAATTTTAATCGATTAACGTGCAATTTGTGAAGAACTAATTTCTAACGCATTAATGATCATATTCGTTTTATACATAGAAATATAAAGCGATTGAAAACGTGATGGAAAATATAAAAAATTTGTACAAGGCAAGCTTTAGTAGTCTCATTTATACAAAAATGCTATCAATGGCACACACATCATTACTACATTCAAAAAATCGTTGCTCTGTTCCAACTAACATGATAGTTTATATTAGTTGTAAAGGAAGACAATGTTTCTTTTTCTCCTATGAAAACAATTTTAAATTAGGCACATTTAAAATTGTAACTATAAAAATGAAAAAAAATATATCATTAAAGTGATATAAACTAACTTAAAACAAAATTAAAAAATCCTTTTCCTTTCACTTAGGACTATTATTGTCAAGTATTACTTTTCTGCAAGAATGTACGAAATTCATGTTATATTTGTAAATAGAAGTCATGATTTTATAGGGTGTAAACGTATTTCTACATAAAAATCTTATATTAAAGCTTCGATTCTCATAATATATAAAAGTATAAAAACATTTGTATCTGATATTGATTTGCGTGGAACAATACTGATTACTGGACCTTTTTGAACATGGTCAGTGTGCTGTGTCGTTTGTGAACTAAATTGGTTGCACGTGAAACTATGAAAATATACTACCATTACATATTATAAAGATTTTTATAACTTTTTGGTTTTTTGTAGAAGTCTGCAAAAGGTTAAAAATTATTAGAAACATAGAGATTTGTTGTTCGATACTTGTTCTTTTGTTAAGATTAAATTTGATCAAATTTAACATTATTTATTTTTCATCATATTCATTTACTGCATTTATTCGAACAACTGATGAGAAATCAGATATGCTTAGGACGACGTTAATATTATATTATTATACGTAACATGCAAGTTATGTATATACAGGAATATATATTGGAAAAAAGATGAGAAACATGAAAAACTGTATTGAAATGTATTCAAGTAAAAACCTGTTTAATTTATATCAAACTAATATTTTGAATTTAATCTTTGCAACAAATTTATGCTCTTGTTCTTTTGGGGACGGATACTATGAACTAATACTTTTCAAGCATAATTTAAGAAGAAATTTTGTAGTAAGTTATAGCACACTGATGATTATAGTATTATATATATGCACATAGATATTTTGCAACTTTTAGTTTACAAATAAACGTCTTAGAAGACTTGTACTCATGGCATGATTATAAAAATTTTCTTAATTAAAGTTGTTATACATCGATCCTATATGTTTATAAAGATGTGTCATCTGGTACGCAATTAGAGTTAGTGATAAGCAACTGCAATGTAAAGTATACATTTAATAAGAAAGTAAACAAAGGTATATCTAACTCTAAAGCTGCCAAAATTTAACAATTCTTTTCCTTGTACATAGAACAAACACTTGTATTTTTATGATTATTTAATTTCACTTAGCTATACTTATACCCCACTTAAATAAGCTACATCCAGCTGAAACGTATAAAAGTTTTATACAACACTAACGTATTCTACTTATATAATACATTAGATATCCTTCAAAATGTAGTGACGTATAATTTATGCATGAAGCACATATTAGTTTACATAATAACCTGAAGTCATTTCTGTTACGAAAATTATAATTTATTTGACCAAGAAATTGTGGTATTTAATAAAGTGCAAAAATTGAATCATTACTTTTTGAAGAATATACCTATTAACAACGACATCATTGTGACAGTGTTAGTTTCATTAGCGCTGGCACTTCAACCTTATAATCATTGCAATCTGTTTGTTTTAGACTAGAATTTTTAAGCTGATATATTTATCATCTAAATCGCAAATTAGAACAGAATTTTACTGTTTTTTCCGATTCATTTATAATCTGTGTATTTACATACTTGCATATAACTAACACATAGTGTGACATAATGATTATGATCGAAGGAAACTTTTAAGTTTGTTGTTCCTTTAAATAAAAGATGTAAAAGTATATTTGGTCAAATACTGATGTAAAGAATTAAATATTGTTTGGCTTGTATTCATCTCATATATCTCTAATCACTCCGTTTCATTATATTTACTTAAGATTTTGTTTTTTTAAAAAAATAAAAAGATTTCAAGTATTCAACAACTTTGCGATTATATGGAACAAAGTTATTTAATATGCATTTTTTTTAAAGCGAGCTTCAACATATTTTGTTGCTCTATTGTTTATTTAGGACAAAAGTTTTTAATTGTAGTTCGCTGCCTCATTTAGTCGTACGTGATACAACATATCACAAGTGTTTTATTTCATAGCACCATTTCAAGTTATATGATAGGGAATATTTAATGATTTAAAAAAATAATTTAAATGCATTTAATCTATCTCACTTTAAGCTTAATAACATTTTCTAAATGATACTAATCAAAATTAAATACTGTTGACGTTTTTATGACAAAGTAACAAAGTTATGAAAATAGAAAAGAAGTAAACGCATATATTGGAACTTCAGTTACTTAATAAACGTAAGAGTAATCACGATTGTATCATAAACGTGAGGCAGCTTTTTAACAAAAAGGTAGATAACATAGTATGCATTGATCATTGTCAATTTAAGTACCGTTACACTCTTATAGTTTGAAGATATAGTTCAAAGAAATATATCAGTACGATAGATCAATTTTTTTAGAAGCACCGAAAGTGCTTCAAAATAATTATGGACATACATTGGACGTTCGTTAAACGTTACAACGAAACGCATAACATAGTTTTCATTAAATTAAATGAAAAATTGATGAAACAATTTTTAGTGAGATCTTTTTAAAATTGTAAGTGTTATTCAAAGTAAGTAATTTGTGTTATTGCAATGATATTACGCAAACTATAAAAAAACATTAGAATACTTTCTTAAATAAAGAACGATACATGGAATGTTTTGTTTTATGGCCAATTGGATAAATACTGTTACCATGTTAGTGAAAAAAAAACATAAGAAATGTCATTACTATGATGAATAAATATAACAATTGTATGGTAATTATAAGCTAACTTTTCCATTTATGATGGAAAGTAAATCCAGAACAATAAAAGTTTATATAAAAACGTACTGTGGAATTTGTGTGCTGGTATCCATTAATTTGTTACGTTGTTTAGTGAAGATATAGTAACTACAAACTGCTCCAAAATCTCTGTCAGTGATTCTTGTAACATTGCTTGTTTTTCTTCTAAGCTGGCAACCTATTATTTCAGGTAGTTTACATTAACAATTGTCGAAAACATTTATAAAAAACAGATTATAAGTTTAATGCTCTTTGTATACACACCCTTTCTAAAAGTTGATTAAAGACTTCATATGGAACATAAGCAGGAGTTCCACTAGTAGGTGAGGTCTGCTCTGGTTGTGAAGACGTATTGGATTTTTGACTGCTGTCCTTTTTAATTGGTTTCGCGACATTCGTTGTTGGTGACACTCTAAATTATAATTACAATTATCATACAGCTTTAAACAATCATATCCAAGTTGCTAGTGGCAATAATAATATTCTAGAACTTATTACCGTGTATTATTAAATTTCTTCTTTAGTTCAGATATATCAGATATATGATCAACTAATCCGATCTTTCTCCTTTCTATGTGATTCAATTTTAATTCTTTTACCTGTACACAAACAATTCATTAATAACTATTTATTATAAATAACATTTACAAACAAAGCATATCAAATTACCCAAGGTACTTTTCTCCTTGCCTTCGCCGCTAGTCCTTCAGGTTCTTTCTCTCGTATCTGTTTTAATATGGTATCTCCATTTCCATTTGCTAAAGTATCTTCCTGTTATAAGCACAAGTAATTCACGTTAAAGAATGAAGAAATTTTAAATATACTTTCTACTTTTTGAAACAGTATAATTTGAAGTATTATGTAGTTCATATTAATCCATCAAACAGTGGAACCGAATCAATCACAACCCAATTTTATATTTAAAAAAATAACAATTGTTAAGAAGTTTAAATCTATCAGAAAAGTAGCTATTGATAATGATTCGACTGCACCGCTCATGTTGCTATCACAAACGCCCCCCAACCGACGGTTAAAACAGTGTTAAGAGCACTAACAGGTGTTGTAGTAGTTGTAGTGGTAATTGTTGGTCCAGCAGTGTAACGTCGTAAACGTTGCGAAGAAGGTGGACGTCGGCGGGGTGCTTTAGCTCGAGAAGCTGTTAAGTGCGAAAGCGGTGCTCCTTCTATTCGTTCTACCACATCTAGCTCTTCACCCAAACTTATATTGGTATTTTCGTTACCGTTATTGGTTCCCACATCACCTAGGAAACGTTTCAAACTCGATATGATTGAATAACTTATAGTTTTTCTATCCTCATTACTTTCTCCAATTCCTGGAGAAGTTGACGATGTTGAAGAAGAGGCCGATGTCGATATGGCTTTCTTATTTACTTCTGCATTCAACACATAACAAATCAAACAGTTCATAATATATTTATTATAACCCATTTATTTATTATCTTATTTCTTGCATGATTTTGATATAAGCAGCACTGCAAAAATCAGATCCATGAATAATTAAGTACCTGTGTGTAGTTGAACATCTAAACTTTTCCTGGTGTGAACTTTCTCGCTCTTTTTTGCTGGATAAGAATGTCTTGCAGCTGACTTAACAGAAGTTTCTTGTCTTTGTTCATGATCTGTTTGATCTGGTGCAACATTAACTATTTCAACAAAATTGTCTGGAAATAAACCAATTCGACCATTTATTTCGCCTATCCACCAACCCTAAAAATTATTTAACACATGTTAATAACTTGCTTTGTTTTTAATACATATACAAAAGAATGTTTATTTAAAAATATGGTATTTAGCTAAATATTCTGCACCTCGTCAGAGGCATCCTTCGATAGGAGTGTTATTATGTCTCCTTCGTTCAATGTTAATTCATCATCATTGGCAGCTTTATAAGGGAAAAGCACTTTATACAGTTCTTTTTTATTTTGCTGTTTATGCTTATCAGGCTCTTCGTATACTGGAGGAGACACAAAATTCGAAGGGAAAACTCCAACCTTGCCTTTAAGTCGACCTCTCCACCACCCATCTTCCACTTCTCCCAAAAATTCTATAGTGTCTTGAGGTACCAGAGTTAATTCATCTTTATTACAAGGTTCATAATCAAACAGTACTTTACAAAATCGTCTTCTAGATCCATCATTTCTTAACGTAACATCTTCAGATTTATTATTATTGACTCCTTCACTTCCCCCGCTTCCTGTACTGCCAACTGTTCCACTTGGCACAGGTTTTAATACCTACATTAACGTTCTTTTTTAACACATATATCATTTCTCAAAATTATAATTTATGAAAATGTTACAACAGTGTCTAAAGAATATATAACAGATATGGACAGACAAAAGTATTAAAAATTACCTTAACAAAATTATCAGGAAACATGCCACGTTTATCTCTTAGAGTACCCTCCCACCAACCACCTGCCAATACTTCAATTTCTGTGATAATGTCTCCTTTCTTTAATGTTAATTCGTCAGGCTCTTGTGCTTCATAATTATATTCTACAATTGCCTCCATTTTTTTTTTATTTTAACAGTAGTTCAAATTTGTTAACGCATAAATATCACAACCTTGTATCTGTAATGAGTACACGCTGAACACACAGGGCAACAACAATAACTAAACATGCTTACATACAAATGAACAAAATGCATAAATGAATCATAGAGATGGTGCAGTTTTTGCATTGAGTCACATTTTTTAAATAGAAGTTTTGCAATAGGATTTATGAGGACGGTCAGTACGATAAGGAGTTTTTTATCGCTCTCGCAGCAAGTTATCATTTCAAACGAATAAATTACACTGTGTGAAAAAAAATATACTGAACACGAAACGTAACATACGTACGAATTAAGACAAGTTGCGCGCCTACAGAAGTCATTTGTTCCTCGTACATCCTCCACCTTTCAAACCACTGCACGAACTTATCACGTTCATTGTATTACAGTTTCTAAAAGATATGTCATTGAAAGCTGAAAATTTAGGCGTATCCCACATTCAATTGATACTTCGACGTATCTGTCATCGCGGCCATCTTGGGCTCTAAACTCGAGTGAACTTCAGCATACAATTTGTTTGTTAGGTGCGCATGATAACCTATCGATGACTCAAAGAACGCGCCAAACCTAATTCATGATTCATTTTTGTTAAGTGTGCGAGGACTATCAATGAACACTGTTCTAATTTCAATTCTACTGTGCGATCGTACGGGCAGTTCATGAAGAACACTATTAGTTAAATTACGAGCAATTCTATTGATCTATATAGTTCACTATCGAAAGTTGTAAGTTAACCTTCAATATTACACAGTATATGTTGATGTTTGTTTTAGTTCGCGTTTATCTAAAGGTTATGTGACACGTTCAACTGACTGATTCATTATAATTGGTTTCCTCTTATCATAAAACTCTCACGTATCAGATATACGTAGAGCATACAAATTTCCTATATATAGGGTGTCCTAACTTATGACAGTTCCGTTATGTTTACGTGAAAGTTGTATGAAGAGGGCAAGTGTTGGCTCTTAGGGAAACCCCCTGTTTTACATGAGCACCTCTTACTTGACTATAAAGCTACAAACTTTATGATTTAACACGAGGTCATGTAAATAAAATTATAACATACAGGTACAGTCGGAAAGAGTAACAATTAATTCGTAGGTAAAAAGTGTGCATCTTTATTTATTATCGATTTAGACATCAAGTTGTACAGTTGTCTCTACGAACTTAAAAACTGTTAAACGTATACATACATGTATATATATTTCGACTGATAGTATCGGTCAAACAAAACACGTGAATTAGTCTTATCGTTAACGATAAAGAAAGCCGTTTTTAGACTATATATATGTTCAATCGTATTTAAAGTGAACGAACAGAATATTTTTCTTCAAACGTGCTCTTTCGTTTTGTAACGTATATGTACGAAATTGATGTAAATACTTTTTAGCGCAAACAGGAAAGCAAGTTTGTCTGTACGTTCACCAAAAATGGATTTTCGTTTGGAAAGAAAAAAGATGTGTAACGGATAGAGGATTTTTCGAAATAAGCTTTCGTCCGATCGCAATTGTTTTGACGATAAACGAGAATTATTTTTTCACTTCAGTTTGCGACATTGACGTAGCGCCTAAAACATGTGCGTTGCGTCTAAATATGATAAAGGATCAACCAAGTGATATAAAAAACGTTTCCCACAAATTATTCACCCAAAGGCCAGCTTTGGGGAAGAAACGAAACGCTTCCATAAAGAGCCAAGGAGGGGTAAACGATCCAGCGTCCCTTCTACATAAATAATACAAACAATTCTACTAGCCGCAAGCTACGGGTTCAACTTTGGGCAGTTTATTATTTTCAGCTTAACACGTTGACTGTTCTACAGGTCCCAAACAATGCAAAGTTAACTTAAATCGCATAATTAGATCATTGGTATTTATAAACTTACTAATTCCTGCTAAATGCATTATACTTCACTATGACAGTCAACATGTTAAATACTATGTTGAATCGAATATTCAAACTATGGCTAAAATATGTTATCATTTGATTTGATCATACAACTATTGAAGTTGTCTTTGGAATGTGTTTCTTTGGAAAATATTTGCATGGAATGTGTGTCTTTGGAAAATAATTCCATAAGTCACTTAACAGATTATAGTATCAAGATGTGATCTTATAAGACTGTAGTCTATTATATTAAAGATCTGAGACAGTTTTGCTTTAACTTAGAAGCAACAGTTTGAACATTCTTTTCATGAATACTGTGATTCGTTGTTAAGCTCCTAAAAAAATAAGGCTAAAAATAGTTAAACTAAATGAATAACATACAAAAAACTATTAAAAAAGAGATCAAGTGAATAAGTAATAAGAAATCAACATTCAAGTTCCCTATAATTTCAATTTAACGCTTCCCAAACAACTAAGCATCATCACAGCTTACATAAAATACACATTTTATGAATCATAACATAATTAAAACAATAACTTACCACAAATAGATTCATTATGCTTATATCTAAAAATTATGAGTCATTACTCAAACATATCTTCAAGATTAATCTCAGCATACTTTGTATGTTGCTTGCACATGTGTTTAAGTTTCAACATTTAATCCAGGTCTTCCCAGATAATTCCAATCTCAAACCATACGGTGTGCTATCTTTTCTAAAGCTTCCTCCTTTTAAGTCAAAGAAGCAACATTGATAGGAACAGCTCACCGTACATTTTGAGATAGGACTTTCTCCACTTGCAAAGACCTGATTTCATTCATAATAAAACGAGTTTGGGAAACGTTGTTCAATTTTTCATTGAGTTGGCATAACACAGTGCTTTCCAAATATTGCTTTCGAAGCCAAAGTGAAACCCCCACTCTTTTCCCTTTGCAAACAGAGCCGATGTCACATGAAACAAGCACCCAATAATAACATTTGCAATGAAAACTGACCTAAAGTGATACGGGGAGAAAGTAAGGGAGTCATTCGGTGAAAAGCACTGGTGTAATAAGTTGCCTTAACACGTTCGATCCCGACGTAACAGATGCAGCCTTTCTGACACGGGTAAATCTACCCGAACGGGCACGAACGCGTTAACGCTAGCAAGCAGTCGAAGTCGTTTGTGTTCATACAAATTTGCGACGAGTTATATAAATATATAAAAAGCAACGAAGATGATCGTATCGTGGCTTCCAAATAAGTGTGCGTGTGTGTGTACGCGTGTACGTAGTATACACAAACAGTGTACTGTGAGACCATCAGTTGCAGTACCTTCGCGCTTGCTGCGTGTATGCGATTCAAACAAACGCGTCGAACACGAATTGTAAATGATTCGCTGACTTTTACTACGAGATCGATCGATTTCCAAAGTCTTCGGAAAATAATCGAGCAACGAAACTCGCGACAGGCATAACCTTGACAATCTTCCGAGCACGCTCTTTCACCCGCGATTAAATTGTCTTGACAGCAGTCTCCTTTTTTATGTTTCTTCGGATCTACAGGGAGTTTCGAAAAAGATGTACGCTGTAGAAACTGTCAACTTTTTGCAATTCGCAGGAGGTTAGCTTACAGGAATTTCAGAACTCTAAGACAATTTTGTGGAAATTAGACTCTTAGGGATAGTGGTGATTCTGGGAGAATTCCCAAACTCAGATTAACCTGATCCCTAATTTTATAAGTTCTCTTGAGATTCCAAACTTTAGATTTCCAAATTCTCAAATTCCTAGATCCTCAGATCTTCATAACTCCAGCTCCCACTTCAAGTGTTGAGATTCAGTTTTGCAGTACTTATGGTGAACATTTTTTTTGAGCCACCCTGTAAATTCCTTCGCATACAAGCAACGACAACTTGATTCTGGTCAATCTGCATGTCAGTTTGCACCCTAGAAAATGCAATGAGTAAGTGATCGAACTTTGGCTCCTGTTGAGTCTAATTTTGAAGAAACGTGAACAATTTTAATTTTATGTATCAACAAGACAGATCAAATACCTTATTGTAAACTTGAAAAGGGTTATTATCCATAAGAGGTTACAGTGGATGACTTCACAAATTTTAATAATTTTTTTATGTGTAAAAGGTAGTGGCAATGAAGCGTTAAAATGTAGCTGAAAGTTCGTTCACCTACTTTCGCTCCCACCTTTGCCATTCTCCCGTTCTTTGCTCCCTCTAATCGTTGGTAGGCACAATAAAGGCTTCATTTTGTTGCCAGCGTAAACGAGGAGTACGAATACGATGATGGTGGTCTTACGTTAAAGACAACGACTGTATACATATCTATGCGTCTACGAAAGTATTGTGCGATGCTTGTACGCGCTAATTATCGTGCCTCTATACAATGAGTTACTAATGAGTTAATGCGTCCTCCTAAAATGTACATAATGCTCGAGCGCGCTATATATAATCCTATCGTTAATATCTTCACTATCGCGTACAATTATATTCTGGTCTCGAGTCGCATCACTGTTGCCCATTCCTTTCAAACTCATTCATAGTTCTCGTTACGGGAAAATGTACGTTAGGATGGAGGCATATTTTGATTAAGAGAGGAGAATGCCCATCATGCTGTTAGGATAATCCAAGAGGATTAGATTAGGCACATTTGTTCAAATTTATCTTCTGGGAAACACCCTCACATTCCTAGAATCCTTAGGTCCCATGGTTCCAAGATTCCTAGGGTTAGGACTAATCCTAACACCTTTAGTCTCTAGGTACCAATGGTTTCTGGAATTCCTAGGTCTTACAGTTCCAAGATCCTCAGATTCCTATGGTCCAGTCTCTAGGACTCCGAGGCTGTTTCAAGATCCTCAGAGTCCTACGATGCAGTCTCTAGGACTCCTAGGCTGTACAGTTTCAAGATCCTCAGAGTCCTACGGTCCAGTCTCTAGGACTCCTAGGCTGTACAGTTCCAAGGTCCTCAGATTCCTACGATCCAGTCTCTAGGACTCCTAGGCTGTTCCAAGATCCTCAGGGACTCAAATGGTTGGTTACCTCCAGTTCTAAAAGGCTAGCTGGTTGCCAAACTCCTCCAAGATGTAAATTCTCGCGTGACAAGAACCATATGCCATACTCCAGAAGAACGACGACACTCTCGTATTATCCTGTACATGTTACTTAATCATTAATACTACATTCGAATTCGCCAGGTGTATCCGTAGTGATTATCAAAGCGCACTAATCGAAACTCGTCTCGCGTGATTCCCCTCTGTTAGTTTTGGCCTGCAGACAAACCGGTCCCAGACGATTCCTCTCCGCTTCACAAACATCGAATATTAACGCGATACAAAGGCAAGGGGGTATTTAATCGTCTTACGCGCACCAGCCGCAAGCAAATCGAAACTGAATCGCGCGTGGTCATCTGCACGCCAAACGACTTCGAAACACGCACGCCATCCCCCCTGACAATGGAAAAGCAATGGTCCTCGATTAATAGTGTTGTCGTTTGCAATTGCGCCCGATGAAGCAGCAAAACACGAATATCTGTCGTCTTAGGCCTTACGTGAACATTAAGCGAGTCTATCGGTGAGTGTTTGTACTGCTAATCCTCGAACCAGAAACCTAACCTCAAGAACGTTCGGTGGCCCAACAACTGTTCATCAAGCTGCGGTATAAAGAAGAGACACGATCGTTTCCGGAACGGTTGAATACACTGTTCCGCGGTTATTGCTAAATCACTGTCGAATTAAAAATGTTTATAAAACGGTTGTTGCATCGGTGTATGAATCAGCCTCAGTGGTTATCGATTGTTACAAAGCTTGATCGAAGTTATAGTATATTCCCTATAGAAAACGATGAACCATTAGGTGTCAACGTTAGTAATTTCTTGTTATTCTAATCACATATAACAGGCATGACCAAGTGGTGGCTTTACAGCCACGTTTTATTACTAGTCCTCATTTAATTACCCTTCATAAAGCATCAAAATCTTCACATTTCTAGATTCCTAGATCTTCCACTTTGTAAATTGACTCCATCTTCACAAATCCCTTATTTCCTACCTGCACCTCACAAATCCTCAAATCTCCAAATTCTTAGACTTCTAATTTAACCTGATCCCCAAACTTGCAGACCTCTAACTCCAGAATGCCCAAGGTCTTAAATCTCCAATTCCCTGTATCTCCAAATCCACCATTTGAAAATAGGGTTGTCCACATAAATGACTTTAACGAGACTAGTGCACCTAACATCATTCATGCGTTACACATAAATGATTGCTAGGAATATACACTTCCTGCATTACCATCCGTTGTACACCATATGGCTTTCAAAATGGCACCTGGTCATGCCTAACATATAATAATGCGTTACCTACATCCTTCCGGTTACCCCAACGACAACCTATCCACGTAAATATATACGATTCGAATCATTTGAACGTTAAGAATGAAACATTAGCTTAAAACGTCAGAGCACAGAGTTTTGTCGAGGTAAAAGTCTGTTCAGCGAATATGAACACTTATCGTTAGCATAGAATGTAATTGTGCTTCCTTGTTAATACGATTGCGTTGCTCTCGACGGGATTCGCCGTATCGTCGAGCCGTTCGAGAGGGTGCGAAAATTTATAACGCCTGTGTTGGCAAACGATTGCGAACGACCGTCGACGCATTCGTGGACGCATGTTCTACTTCCAGGATTAAAGCTCGTTCTACCTCCTGTTCACACTGTGTTCGCCCGTCGAATTCGTGCATCCGTGTACACTTGCACAGAGAAACGACTTCCCTTTATTCTCGCGCAGCCACGATAGATAAGGATTACTTCGTATTTACCGATACTCGAAGCGTGTCCCGATCCCCGTTATTACAGAAACTAACATGTGCATCTCCAAGCGTCACCTTGCTGGGATGGGGACTGAGCCTTAATTACGCTGTCTGCTCCTTCCCTCTCGGATGCCTCGAACAGGCTCGCCTGAAATTGTTACACATTGTACTAATTGTCTCAATAAACTCCTTATATTTAAACCCTTAATTAAACTTTGAAGCCTAACATCTCATTCAACTGAAGCTTCTGCAGTTTAAGACCTAAGATTTAAGATAAGTTTGAGGTTAAGTTAAGCTATGACACTTTCAAAACGATCTGCATAATATTACATGTACTGATACATGTTTATGATAGCCTTGAACATGTTAAGAATGCTATGAACCCCATCTCTAAGTTCCTACACATATATCCCTAGTTTTGCATAAAATAAGTAGCAGTACCCGACGTCCTCGTTGTTCTCGTATTCTTCTAGCCAAAGTAAGAAACGCTTCCTCGATGTTAATATTTTCTTTGCATGACACTTCGAAGAAAGGCATGTCGAAGTTTTCGGCTATTTTCATTCCCCTTTCGGCGTCCACAGCCCTGTGCGCAGTCGCGTCACATTTATTTGCCGCCAACACTTTCACCACGTCCGAGGAGGCATTCTGCCAACAAGACAAGTTCAATTTTCGTTGATAAACGTTTTCATGGAAATTCGTGGCGTTCTTACTTCTTGAATATTTCGTAGCCAGTATGATAGATGATTGAAGCTCTCTAGGCTGGTGACGTCGTACATCAAAAGGATGCCCATGGCACCGCGGTAGTAAGCTGTGGTCAGCGTTCTGAATCGTTCTTGGCCAGCAGTGTCCCTTCAAAGAAAGAGCATATTAATAGCAGTTGGTATGCAGAATGATGGTCATATTTTGCAATTGTTAGCTCTTAGCTGTTTAAGTAATTAGGTTATGAAGTGAGGTACATGAAAATCTGATAATTTAGGTAGCCAATAAATTTAAATTAAAAGTATAGAATCTCGATATTTTCATCCTAGATAAATTCCCTTTCTTGACTATATAATTAAATTGAGTAGACTTGTATCAGATTGCGTCACGCTTCGTAATTTCCTGTCCAGCCTCTAGAGCCCCCAGCGCAGGAAAATATCAAGATTCGGGTCAAGTTTGAATATTTTTAGTTTCTCTGTTATATCATTTTGTAACAAGTAGGCATTGAATTAGTTCAAAAGATAAATTTCCGGCTAAAAAAGATAAATTATGATTGTATTAAGGAGTATAAGTAATATCAGCAGTATGAGATAAGTACAGGTGACATGAAAATAGAATTTTACTGCATTCCTAATAAAGGTGAGGCCTTTGATACCCTATTTACAATACAAGGTTTCGCTTTTATTCTCTTTTCAGTATCACGCATGCTTATCTTCTATTCTTAGCTTTCTAGAGCAACTACAAACTGTAGTTTTACTGAAAACTTTAGTAGTACAATGTTAGAATATTTATATAAATTTTAGAATTTTAATTAATAAACTATTTTGGATCCGCATATACCGGCTGGACTATTTAGAAATTAAGAAGCAAGGTACATTTGTTTAAAAATATAAAAAAAAATTAAAATGTTAAACTCCCTAGAAAGGGGTATTTATAAATAGGCGATACTCACCAAATTTGAAGCTTAATTGGTGTTCCATCCAGGTTAATTATTTTTTGCTTGAAGTCGATACCTGTTAATTTGTTATTTGCAAAAATCAGGTTTGATTTCGTATGGACACATCAAATATATTGATATATAGCAGACTCTCGCTACATTGCCGGCTGAGTCTTCGTATACTACATTAGACCCTCCTAAGGGATTTATAAAATACAAATTAACGAATGACTCCACATTTCTAGATTTAGAGATCGTAAATTCTTTGATACTGTTAGATAAATTCCCGGAACTGTAAATCCCTAAGTTACAAATGTCCAAATCTCGGAATCTTTAAATCCCTCAATTTTCACATTTCAAATCCCCAAATCCCTATATCCTGGAGGCCCTAAATTTCTCAATCTACGCTTCTAAATCTCTAAATCCCCGTATCTTTAAATCCCTGAATCCCCATATCTCAAGTTGTAAATCCGTCAATCTTTATATTTCCCACATTTTCAAATTCCCAGTTTACAAATCTCCAAAATTTTCAACGACTCCCGCCAATTCTTGTCGTACAAAAATTCAGTTACTGCTGACGTCAAAGATTTCAAAAAACCTCCTCCTATATTGCCACTAAAGATTACCCTATCTGACTCATCGCAATATAACGAGATTCTGTACCAAACCTAACCCCACAAAAATCTGACAAATACATCGAAAAGGTAAACATTTTCTGATCAGTTGATCGATTAAGATGGGTTCCATGTTACTAGAATTTTCTTCCGAAAGATTTTGCACTTTTATGAATCCAGAAAGTGTCACTTGATACACTGGTAATTCAAGTACTCTGTATAATTATAGAAAAGTACAAAGAGTGAATGTTTTAGTCTAATTTAACATTCAAGTTATTACTACTAATACAAGTGTCAAATCTTTACCATACGCAGTAAATTGCAACATTGTACCGTGAACATTACCTTCAGTATACGAAATATGGACGCAATTAACGAATGAATAATAATCTGCATAAGAACCCTGTTCTCCAAATTGCCCAATGCGATATATGCTTGTCAACAAGCTGCAGCTGTACAATCGAAGGTAACATCCTGTTTGCGGTAACGGACGCAGTGCATCAAGTTCCTTCAAAAAATCATCGTCGTACCAACAATAATTTGTCGAAACTAGATACTTAACCGATCAGCCTGTCAATTGTCGAGAATCGAAAACATCGAAACGGGCACACGCACACGCGCACACAAAGAAGAATCGTAAGACGATGAGTCTCACCTATCGTTGAAATGTAAGTGTCGTAGTAACGTTCGTCACAATAACGGTGCACGATGCAGGTTTTCCCGACGTTCGAATCACCCAACACCAGAACCTTGTAAGTGGCTGCGAAATCCAGCGCCATGTTTGCTTTCGGGTGCTTTTGAACTGTTGTGTTCGAGTCGACAAGAGAGTCGTCGGCCGAGGGTTGTTCTTTCGACACTTCGGGGGTGGAGGATCGATTCGAAGCCTGCGCTTTTCAACGTGCCACTAAGGCTGCACTCACAATCGCAACTTTTCAAATGTCATGCGCGCAACATTGTATGACGCACAGGAAAGTGTGGGAAGGGTGCATGCGTTGGCGAGGGTCAAAAGGGGATGATTGCTGCATTGTCATTGAAAGGACGTACTTGTTTCTCTATTTCGTTTTTCCCTATATGGAATTAGTCTCTATAACTGGTGCTCATATACCTCTTTCAGCTTAAAAAGTGCTTTTAAAATTCTAACATATTTTCAGATTGCCCAAACTTCCAACTTTCTAAACTGCAACATTTATAAATTATTAAATTGTCAAATTTGTAATTCTTCAAATTTCCAGGTTCCACATCTTAGTAAATTGCAATTTGAACAAATGCAAATAGTCAGAATACACTAAATAGGAAGATTTGTTTAAACAAGTTAATGAAAAAGAAGACTGTCTTTGTAAATTGTAATTTTATTTACATAAATCTTTTCTTGCCACATTTTCAAATTAAATGATACATTCTGTTTACATTTCATGTCCACATATGATACATGTTCACAAACTTATTCTTGATTAAAAATTATAAAAATATTAAACAAACAAGACTTTTTTCGATGGATGTACAAAGTTGTTTAAAATAGTATAACAAATTGGCAACAAGTATGATTATTCCTCAATTACATTGTATTATCAACAATTGTATTATGTGATCACAAATTTTTGATATGCTATGATATGAGTAAAGGTAAATACTGATAGGTAATTATTGTACAATACTTTTGACAAAGGATTAATTTAATACTCTTTAATTTCATGGAAAGAAATCAACTATAAAATGTTGAAAAGAAACTTTATCTAAAACTTTAAGAATACTGTTGGGAAAAAGAGAAAAGAAAACTGTATATATATTTTAAATAAAAATTTTTCTTACAATTATTTTCTTGTTAGATAAATTAAAGCTCTATTTTTAATTTTTGAACCCTTAAATGGTAACTATCATCGTGTTTAGAATCAATTTATATATTATATTTAATGCAATGATATTGCTCAAAATAATTCACTTGCATATAGGCACTTTGTTGTAGCCTTATGTTCATTGACAACAACAATTTGTTTTCGATGATTAATAATTCATTTCATATGTTCGCATCATTATTCCTAATTACTTTTCAATGATCATTAAATATTGTATACGATATGTATTTTGTTGTATACTTTGTATAGTTTTACATATACCTCGCATTTTACAGTACTTTGCAATTAAAACAAATGCATTAAACACTATAAAGATATAATAGCAATGCTTTGCATTCACCTGTGATGTTAATAACACTTACAAAAATATATTGATAAATATTTTGAAAGTGGAAAAATGATTTTAGCTCTCAGCTTGCATTTAAATAAGCTTCCATAATTGTTATAAGTACTTCTTTAAAGTGAGAACACATTCGTTGTTACAAAATAGATAACTTATTATGTTTTATTAATTGTTTTAGAACTAATTTTGCTCACTCGCAAACACAGCCACACACACACATACACACATAAGTAATACATCATTCAATATATTTATACCAAATATTTGTTTAGCTACTGCAATGGCATTCGTTATACTTTAATATTTTATAAATATTATTTCATCAATTAAAACAAATAACAATAAGAGTAATGTTTATTTTGATATTTAAAAAATGTAAACTTTTGATTGTAATTCCTACACTTTTTTGCTTAGTAATAATGTACATTTCCTGTAATAGGCAAGTGAAGTTACTCTAAAAAAAAAGGAATAAGCAACTTGAAAAAAGCAAATCCTTCACAATAAATAAATTGTACTCTACAGGCATTTTAAACTAATACTACTACTAAAATGGTACCAGTAGATAAATAAAATATATCATTTTTAATAATACTATACAACCTATTGCAAAAGAAAATAAAAAAGCTCTGTTTCTACAAAATTAAGTAATTAATTGGCAATGGGAGTCATTTTGTAACAAAACTTACTAAACATAGTTACTTAAGTCCGTTTGTAGTATAAGTACAGGTGTCATGAAAAATATTATAAATCTTTCGCAAATTTGTATATGAAAATAAGTCAAATCAAAGGGTTCTTTATCTTTAAGACACTATTTTTTAGGCATTGTAATTGTTAAATTACAATATGGCACAGATGCATAATCCTATGCATATCATTCCTAACATATAAGCTAAATCTCTTCTGATACTTGGATCTCGTTTGGTTGAACCAGGAAGATTATATATGTGTTTCCATTTAATTGCCCATAATGGTATAACAACATGTAGAATGTCTGGGATCATAAACCCAAGATCGCGAACCACCTATCACATGTAAAATACTAACTAAATTAAAATGTTGACAATAATGTATTGTTAAGGATACAACTTGTGAACAATATTACCTGATGTGCATAACCCTCTCCTCTAACAACATTAGCAACAAATTGATCCCAACCACCTGCTACAATATGTAAAATAGCTATTGCAGCTATACCAAATGCCTTTCTATGAGTTACCGGATTTTTACTATCTGCCAGATGAATGACCAACAAAGTGGATATCAACTCAGTAATAGAAAAGAACAGCTGATGGTACCATTGGGAATAAAATTCATCGTTCCAGTAATTCATGTAAACCCACCAAGTATAATAATGTGAGAAAATAGCAGTTGAGAAGAGAATCATCATACAAAGTCTAAGGCGGTTTTGAAATGCTAGCCATGTTAAGTGTTTTACTACTTCATAAAAAGTAATTACTCCAATTACAACGGTCATCCATATTTTTAGACTATTCGATGTTGCATTAAAATACATATGTTTATAAGAAGCGATCCCAGATTCGTATGATCCTACAACAACACATCTATATTTCTGAGAAAATGCTAAAAATTTTTGTAATGTACAAATAACATTCTAATGATCTTAACTTACCTTTGAACACTGTGTCCCAACATGAACAAGAACAATATTGTTTGTCCACATCCCGAGCATATTCTTGCCAAAAGTAATACAAAAATGTAATATGTAACGGTGGAATTGTCAATGGTGCTAATATCCCTATTGCTTTGGTGCTGCATGACGCAAAATTTGCATACAGCATGCGTTTAAATATTTTTGTGAAACCCATATGTACAAATTTTTATTTACATGGAGACTCAATCTGTTTGTCTTTGGCAATTGCTTTGATAATTTTGGAAAACTTATAGTTTACTTTAGGCTGATAGATTACGTAACATCTGCATGATCCACTTTAGTTTAAAATATCATGAGACAGGGTAACGGAACAAAATTGGCAATAATTCTTTGGTGTACATAGAACTAAAATAGAACTTCTTAATTCGACAATGTATACTGTTAATTAGATTTTGTTGTAAAACATACTTCTTCTTTTTTATCTTTCCTTTTTCTTATATTTTGTATCATAAAGTGGTGTAATACTTCCAGTAATAAAACACATTGCAAGTAAACCACTATAATGATTCAATCAATGTCGCTAAACATTACAATTCTTTCCACTTTGTGTATAATAAATGTGGTTTTTGTAATGTGTAATACTATCACTTTTAGTCAAGATCTTCTAATTACAGCAATGCATTAAAATTACAGTATAAATTATGGAAATTTTCAATTAATATATGTTCTATCTCACAGTTAGTCTTGTTGACATTCATTTGTTTAAATCACACAACTCCAAATCACTACTGTATTATGTTTGAATAGAACTGCATTGTGTACATCAATTGTTTGCACGTACTAGAGTCATTTAGGCCATTTACTGCGACATTCAATAGAAATTTACTTCCGTGTTCACATGACAGTATAAAAAAAATATTTAAATTGGCACCAACGCAACGACTGACAACTATAAAGTAATGTTTCCATTCTTAGCATCCATTTACTGAACGGAGGGCTTTGCCCCTCCAAAAGCACTTACTGCGCATGTGTAGAACTTGTTTCCACGCGGTGAACCACGTGCATTTAACTTTGTATGAGTTTAGCACGCAGCACGGTACATTCCGATGGTGGTGGTAATCCCCTACCAAAGCTGTTAGCTCAAAGTTTTAAAGATCTCCCACCGAACATGCAGCGTTGCTATTTTATCACTTACAGAAAATAGTCAAGCAATTATTGCTTTAAATTATATGGAATACTGTCGCTTCGTGGTAAATTTTGAAATTACGTTCGATCGCAAGAGATTACAATAAGAATTATACGATCCAAATAAAATAAAAGTGAATTTAGAAAGTGCTATGAACTGCATTACGGATTTATTCATTTGAGATACAGATATGATAAACATGGTTTCTGATAGTTTCATATTTTTCTAAAAGTTTTATACTTGTTAAAAATTCAAGTTTACGCGCGCATTTTTAAAAAATGACGTCATCGACGGAAATGGAACAGGTGGCGCCATCTCTCCGGCGAACAGGGTGAACTACACGGTTTTGAAACAGCAGGTTCGTTAGTTCCCACTTATACCGCTAGACGGCGCCACTGGTGCTCATGTATCGCCATCTAGCGGTAGAAGATGGGAACTAATTAAAGTGCTGCTCCAAAAGTGTGTAGTTCACCCGGTTCACCGGAGAGATGGCGCCACTAGTTCGATTTTTTTTTTTAAATTCAATTAATATTGATTTTATTAGCTTAATTAACTTCCATATGCGTCAAATTACATCGGAGAGCAAGAGTAATTATCTTATTGTTCTTTCTGTACCAATAAATTAATTTTTGATAAATAAATTAATATAAAATCGATATTTCTTTATAGATTAGTTTCCCCCAAGTCGCCATTTTTATTCTGGACTCAGTTCCATGGAATATTCTATAAAATATTGCATTAAAAAAATTCTAATGAAATAATGTATCATATTATAATAAAAGTTCTATAAATACTTATAGATTTATCGAGGATAATAATGTCACTTATTGTGCGTTCATAATAAACTATTTGGAAAAGAAGATTGTGATCGATGTCGATCATTTTCCACGACCTTGAAGCCAAGGACGATATAATAACGATGCATCCGACGAATCACGAACTGTTTATGCGGTGGTTTCCCTCACGAATATACAGAACGAGGAGGGGAGTATAATGTTCCAATTTCAGGGTTTCCGGTCATTTTCTTCTGAACTGCACCGTTTTAGCACAAATTGGACAAACATCGCCGCAGCAGGTTTTTAGAATCTTCGAACTTTTGGGTTAGGGATACTTGGAACTTTCACATGTGGATGTTTTGGAATTTGGAAGCTAGAAAATTAAGAAACTTGCAAATTTTAACATTTAGGCAATTTGTAATTTTTGCAATTTTGTAATTCAGGAATTTGGAAGCTTGATAATTTGAGAAATTATAAATTTAAGAACTGGAGATTTAGAAATTTAGATTCACTCATCCAACACGTCCATTTTGTTTTCCTTCAAACTAAATATGGAGAGGCGCCAGAATATTGCATTTTAAACAACCCTGACGAAAATAATCGTCAAAATGTAAAATTCCAAGGTACCAAGTAAAAGAACTGCGTGGAACGATGACGCCTCAAAGAAACAAATGAATTTTTCTCTTTTTACAATATAAAAGGAAAGATGTATCAATGTACACATTTCGAACAGGTTTTCTGACTAACAAAAGTATCTTGAAGGCCAAAATTGATATCTACAGTGGCATAAATACGTAGACAGGAATTGGAAATTTTAAAGGCAACGAACAGAAAAGTGGAGATACTTCCGGGTCTGCTTTATTAACCTATTTGCGTGACAAAATGGCGATTATGTCAAAGGAAAACTTGGTTATTTAGGTCGATGATGTATGGGTTACGTGTTGCATTTCGATGCTTCCTTGAATCACAAGCTTTTAATTCAATTCAATTGTTTAATGCAATTGTTTATAGATAGGGAAACTTTTTATGTTATCAGGTTGAGGAATCTCAGAATTCCTACATTTTCATGTGGGGCAAGTATGCAAATTTCCAAGTGCCTAATTTTTCAATTTTTCAATGTTTCAATGTTTCAATTTTCCAATTTTTCAATTTTTCAATTTTTCAATTTTTCAATTTTTCAATTTTTCAATTTTTCAATTTTTCAATTTTTCAATTTTTCAATTTTTCAATTTTTCAATTTTTCAATTTTTCAATTTTTCAATTTTTCAATTTTTCAATTTTTCAATGTTTCAATGTTTCAATTTTCCAATTTTTCAAGCTTTCAATTTTTCAATTTTCCATTTTTCCATTTTCCAATTTTTCCACTTTTTCCAATTTTCCAATTTCCCAACTTTCCCAATTTTCCTATTTCTCAACTTTCCCAATTTCCCAATTTTCCTATTTCCATTTTTCAAGCTTTCAATTTTCCAATTTTCCAATTTTTCAATTTTTCAATTTTTCAATTTTTCAATTTTTCAATTTTTCAATTTTCCATTTTCCAATTTTTCCAATTTTCCAATTTTCCAATTTTCCAACTTTCCCAATTTTCCTATTTCTCAACTTTTCCTATTTCCCAATTTTCCACTCTCTCAATCTTTCATTCTCTCAATTTCCCAATTTCTCACTCTCCCAATCTCTCATTCGTCCAATTTTCCACTTTCCCAATTTCCCAATTTCCAAACTCCCACATTCTCAAGCCCCAAATTCTCAAATACTCCACTTTTCAAATTTTGAAATACCCCAAATTCTAAAGTCCCTTCATCCCTATATCTCCAAACCTCATATATCCCCATCCCAGATCTCCAAATCCACGAATCCCCAAATTTCAATACCCCACTCTCTATATCCAAGTCTATAGTCCCTAAACTTCCGTATCTATATACCGATGTCAACCCACGAGTTGGCGAAGAGCAAAAATCAACAAAAATCTGCTGACGCTCAGCTGACGCCAAACCGCCATTTGCAATCGGTGTACATTTAAGATGACGCCCAAAAGTACAATACCGATGTCAACCCTCGAGTTGGCGCACGGAGCCGACGTGTTTAGAAGAGCTAGTCAGAATAGAAAAATGGACGCCTCACACGTATTTTCGGCGGAACAATTGGCTCTCGCCGGTCACGCGCACCGATTAGGCGAAAAACAATGAGAGTCGGCAAACGTCTCTCGAGTGAGCGAGATAGCCATTGCCTTCAGCAGTTGTTGTCATTATTATTCTTATGCGCCGAAATGTAACTGGAAGTGTTCACGGTGAGGAGCTTCTTTTACTTTGGGTCACGCGGCATCTCGTGGGTTATCTGTATGTCGATTGTCGACATCTGAAGCTGTCTAAAATTTGAAGGTATCATGTGGACAGTTACCGAGGGCACCTATCTAAAGTCTCTTTCAAATGGAACATAAACTTACATGTGGACACTTATTAAGAGCTATCTAAAACTTGAAACTGTCCACCTGACGCGCCAACTCGTGGGTAGGTGCCTGTATGCCGTGCAGTGGCCAACGTCTTCCAGGGTACTCGTGCCCCATCTTCGTTACAAACAAACTCCATTGTTTCCTTGGTCGCCTTAGCTATTTTTGGCCCGCTAAAAAATACAAATATCAAGGCGTATAACGAGATAATAAGATTGCAATTTAGAAAGGAAAACAATTGTGGTTCCTGATTCTTCAGAGCCCGTCTCATTATTCATTCGAAGAAGAACGAAGAACGCGAATATATAATACACAGATCAAGAAAACTCGTTTAAACTACAAAATAACACTTGGTCGAGTTCTTTGTTAGAATGATACACGCATCGTGTACGTAATTATGAAAGAATATTTGCATTCGTTGCGTGGCATCTGCGATTTGAGGAATTACACAGGAGAATCGTGTATGCCATTATGATTTACCGGATAAAAGTAACTATTTTCTGTCCCATTGTCATGGCAAGCTACGTTTCGCGGTAATACTCTTGAAAATGAATGACTGAGTTTTCAACGTCTAACGTTTATCGTCTTGTTCGGTCGCTTATGTACTAGTGGATTTTGTGCGTATGGTAATGGAGCAACAGATCATTTTACTGGACGTTCATGTGTTTATAAATTTCTAAATTTACAGTTTTTGAGATTCTCAAAGATTTCTAGCTCCAAATTCCAAATCTCCCAATTTCCAAATCCCACAAATTCTATGATCCCCATAGTCTACATCCCCCAAATTTCACATCTGCCAAATTCCACATTCCCCAAATTCCAAATACCCTAAATTCCAAATCCTCCAAATTCCACATCCCCCAAATTCCAAATTCCCCAAATTTCATATCCGCCAAATTTCAAATCCCACAAATTCCATAATCCCCACATTCCACATCCCCCAAATTCCAAATTCCCCAAATTTCATATCCGCCAAATTCCAAATCCCACAAATTCCATAATCCCCACATTCCACATCCACCAAATTCCAAATCCACCAAATTTCACATCTGCCAAATTCCACATTCCCCAAATTCCAAATACCCTAAATTCCAAATCCTCCAAATTCCACGTCCCCCAAATTCCAAATTCCCCAAATTTCATATCCGCCAAATTCCAAATCTCCCAAATTTCAAATCCCTCAAATTCTATAATCCTCACATTCCACATTCTCCAAATCCCAAAATTTCCCAAACTCTACAACCCTCTTCCTATTTCGTCAGTTGCTGCACGTCGTGGCCATATAACGGTCACTCATCTCACCAGCGATTTCATTTAATTTCGTACGAGAACCTTTGTTTCCCGATAGAACGTTCAGGAGATCCATCATCTAATTTGAATATCGACGCTACGTCAGCCACCGTTACGATTTATATGCACAGCGTAGATTTCCTCATGCTTTGTTTCACCGTCATCTTCTTCGTCACGTTTCTCGGTTTCGTCTACCACATGTTGAATAAAAAAATAGCTGGTTAATCGAGTAGCCTATGTTTGTCCCTGCTCTCATAGTTCCAGTAGCCGTAGTGCTCAAAATGGCGAATACTTGCGTTACATAGTCACTTGTGCACTTCAAACAACAAATGAAATAACTAAATATTGTAAAAAGCCCTTATCGACCCGGAGGAGTCACAGACAGATGTACTCTCATCGTCGTGTAAGGATAAGAAAGTACTCAATAATAAGTTAATATTCCCCATAAAGATCCTGCGTTATATAAACAAACAAGAATTTCAAGAACGTCAACTCGCCGTTCAAAAAAGGACATATCACCTTGTACTGATCTCTGCCACCCGTTCGCGCGTTCAGGGATGTCGCACATAGACGCCGTGCAAGTTCATTGGCGTACTTACCTTTTTATTTCCATTGGGGAATTTGGGATCTTAATTTCCCTATGAACATCAATCTTCATTATATTCTTTATATTCGAGTCAAATCATTAATATGAAAGATACAGTAGATTCTCAATATATGGCAACCTTCTTGTGACATCAATCACCTTCATTATATTCTTCATATTCAAATTATCACATTTCGAGTCAAATCATTAATACGAAAAGTACAGTGGACTCTCAATATATGGCCACCTTCGTGTGGTATCAATATAACTTCAACCATCTTCATTATATTCTTCATGTCCAAATTATCACATCATTTCGAGTCAAATCTTTAATACGAAAAGTACAGTGGATTCTCAATATATGGCCATCTTCGTGTAGTGTCAATATAACATCAACCATCTTCATTATATTCTTCATATTCAAATTATCACATTTCGAGTCAAATCATTAATACGAAAAGTACAGTGGACTCTCAATATATGGCCACCTTCGTGTAGTGTCAATATAACATCAACCATCTTCATTATATTCTTCATATTCAAATTATCACATTTCGAGTCAAATCATTAATACGAACAGTACAGTGGACTCTCAATATATGGCCACCTTCGTGTGACATCAATATAACATCAATCACCTTCATTATATTCTTTATATTCAAATTATCACATCATTTCGAGTCAAATCATTAATCCGAACAGTAGACTCTCGATATATGGCCACCTTCCCTAAACTATTTCCCATGGTTGCACAACTATTTGCAAAGAAGCTTGCATCGTTTTGTCGATCAACCTCGATATTCTTCATATTCAAATTATCACATTTCGAGTCAAATCATTAATACGAACAGTACAGTGGACTCTCAATATATGGCCACCTTCGTGTAGTATCAATGTAACATCTACCATCTTCATTGTATTCTTCATATTCAAATTATCACATTTCGAGTCAAATCATTAATACGAACAGTAGACTCTCGATATATGGCCACCTTCCCTAAACTATTTCCCATGGTTGCACAACTATTTGCAAAGAAGCTTGCATCGTTTTGTCGATCAACCTCGATAAGAATTGCAATCTTGAACGCAGTGACACTATAATTCACATTGTTTTGACAATCCGAGGAGGAAAATGAACCAGTTCATGATGGAGAAAGGTCCGGGTCATTTTGGGCCCGCGCGTCAATGTTACCGAGTGTTTTCCTTGATGTTGGAGCAGGACCTTGACAGCGATCATTGAATCGGGGGACCTGCTGCGGCGCAATCAAGGTCCTCGCAGCAGCCAACCCGGGGCTTTTGTATCATTCCTTCGCCACCATGATCTCAGAACATAGCAAAGCTCCGAAAGGGATACTGCTCGATGTGGTTACGGACGTACAAGAGTGCTCGGTGTGTTCGTTCGGGTACGATGCTCAGATTGTGTCTGGTCTTGCAGTTATGCGCGGTGGTCGTGTCCCAGAGGACGATTCTGGACTCCACGGATAATTTGCACCTCTATCGCGGTCTTCGCAAATGGATTTTCCGGAATTTTGGTAGGTTTCGTGAGATTAAGCTTCCGTGCTGTTTCTGTCATGAGACTTTGGACACGTATTCGTATTTCAATATGAAGTATATTAGGTCCATCTTAGGTGCGCATACGAACTTATGCTTTATTGAACTATATTCAGTTACAGTTGATTTTTTGTTACTTACAAAGAGATTTCCTTTGTTTCCTTTATTCATGCAATCAATTATTTGATTAATATTAAGCAAGCATAACGGAGACCCGTTCAGTATGCTAGGAGGATGCATACAGTGTGCAGCATACTGTATGCAGCTGGCTTTCCGGGTCAGCGGTGTTTCTTTACGTCTTAAATATGGTCCTGTGAAATGGTTGTCACGACACTGTTCGTTATAAGGTTCATAAAATAACGAACCGATAAAATTGCCTGCCTTATTTGACCCATTCGATATTCCACGTAACTCTACAGTTCTTATGTAATTTCAGGTATAGAAGAACATGCCCGGAAGTTGTCAGCAGTGTCTCGCCGACAGCTCCAAGAAGAACTACCCCCGGACGTCCCCTTCCCCTGCAACGTAACGGGTACTTACACTATTCGAAATGCATCATTTAATGAAACTTATTAAATATTAAGTATCGACTTATATTTTCTTTCTGTGTCCCCATAGTAACAGCAAACATTTTTGACTAGACGGCAGATCGACGAAGGTACCGGACTCCGTTCACCGTTTGAGACCAGGTGACATAGACGTGATTGCTGCGATCGGCGATTCTCTGACAGCAGGTGCCGGTATTCTTGCGACTAACTTATTACAGGTTGCCATCGAGAACAGAGGAGTCGCGGCGGCCATAGGTGGTCAGGGAAACTGGCGAACGTATTTGACGCTTCCTAACATTCTCAAGGTACGTTATCTCGGATCTCTGTGTCATATCTACAATTTCAAGTCCATTTCACTTGCATTTACCTAACGTTATTAGACGGTATCTTCCCGCTGCGTAAATTCCCGGTTGCGCGCGTCGCACGTGCGCGCGCACCCGTTTTAAGCACCGATTAGCTGCTTGCGTCACGCAATGGCGTCTGAGAGGAAGAAAATGGAGTCGCGAGAAAAGCGCGCGTTCCGTAACTTCCTGCCCTCAGACCCCCTGGCGCGGGAAAATATCTGGGTGCTACTGGGACTTATCGACCGTTATCGGAATGTGATCGCGAATTCTCTTGCAGGAATACAATCCGAATTTAATAGGCTACGCGCTTGGGGATTCTTTGACTTCTCATTCGGCTTCGCAGTTGAACGTCGCTGAAAGTGGTGCGATGAGTAGAGACATGCCCTTCATGGCCAAGTATCTGGTTAATAGGATGAAGAAGGATACCAGGATAAATATGAAGAAGCACTGGAAGGTATGTTAAGCTTGTATTGGTTCGTCAAAGGAAATTCGAGAGTAGAGAACTCTTACCTGGAGTTCTGGACTATTACCTAGAGTTCTAGACTTCTACTAGAGTTCTAGACTCTTACCTAGAGTTCTAGATAACATTAGGAATTCCAAGAACGTGTAGCTTCATATCATATAACGATAATACTACCAAGCATAATTTATTATATTATAATAGTACCATTTCCTTGCAGTTGATCAGTATACTTATCGGACACAACGATTTTTGCAATGACATGTGTTTCTTGCCATCAGCGTCGTCCACTTTGGAAGCGCACAGAACCGACTTGATCGAGACCCTCAGGATATTCCGGGACAATTTACCGAGGACTCTAGTTGCTCTTACTCTGCCGCCTAACTTGAAGTCACTCGTCGATGCCGTCAAAGGACAGCCCGAGTTTCAGTGTTATTTTATGACCCAAATCGAGTGTCCCTGCTTGATGGGGCTGCAATTTCGCGATCGAGTGTTGGAGTATTACGACATTATGACGAGGTAAGGATATTATGAGTTGTGGAGAAAGCAGATGGGATATTAGGGGATGCTGCTTTTCGGTATTTGGCATCTGATGTATACAGGGTGTGTATTATTATATATGGTGTATGATATATGATAATGTGTGATGTATGTATGATACATGATAATATATGATGTATGTATGATATATGATAATATATGATGTATGTATGATATATGATAATATATGATGTATGTATGATATATGATGATATATGATGTATGTATGATATATGATAATGTGTGATGTATGTATGATATATGATAATATATGATGTATGTATGATACATGATAATATATGATGTATGTATGATAGACGATAATATATGATGCATGTATGATATATGATAATATATGATGCATGTATAATACATGATAATATATGATGTATGTATGATACATGATAATATATGATGTATGTATGATATACGATAATATATGATGCATGTATGATATACGATAATATAACACCTTGCATCTGTATACCTGAAGACACAAAATGAACAGAGAAACTCTGAAACGTCCAATATGAAAATTATTTAGGATAGTTGCAAATAGAAAATTTAATCAACGTATTTAGACAAAAATCCAATACCTAATCTTACACATTTCTAACATTAGTTTTTCTTTTTAGATGGCAAAAATTAGAGGAAGAAGTAGCCAACTATCCAGAGTTTAATAAAAAGGATTTCACAGTGACAGTTGTGTCCACTCTCAGGAAAGCTACAATGCCAAAAAATGAACGTGGAATCGGAGACATGACGTATTTCTCTGCTGACTGTTTCCACGTCAGTCAGAAAGTTAATGCAAGATGTAAATACATTTTATAATTACATTTATTATAACGGTTCAGATACTGAATTGTCGATAATATTTTCAAGATGCGAATGGACTGTGGAACAATCTGCTGGAGCCGGTTGGAAACAGAACCGAAAACTGGTATCCACCGTATGAAAGATTTTTGTGCCCCTCACCGGAGAAGCCATTTTTTACGACACGCGAGAACTCGCATTAGCAATGATAGATATTATACTAAAGGACTTTACTCGCCAACTCGTGGTTCGACATCGGGTACTTCTGGGCAGCCATCTTAACGTAAACGGTGATCGCAAGATGGCCGCCTGGTGGCGTCAGCTGAGCGCCAGCTATTTTTGTCGATTTTTGCTTTTCAACTGGTGCGTACAACTCGAAGAAGTTTGCCAGAATACTTGTTTTTTGAAACGATGCGAATAAAAAGCTGTACGACATTTATTGATTAGAAATTGTATCGATATTTCAAAGAATGTTCAGATGTAAATGTTCACGAAAAAATTTGTGCAGATCGATGAAATAGTTCCTGCGTGTTTGCAAAGCACAGAATGCTTCGAAAGAATGCAAGTTGGACAAAACTGGTTATTGATTGATGAACATATCAAAATGAATAGCAACCTTCTTTTATTATCGAGTTTTTTGTATAATTTCATCGTGCTCGAGTTGATCAAAATGGACACATGTTTGATGTATGATCTTACTGATTTATGAATAGCGACTGAAATATTTTTAACGCGTTACATTGTGATTATTTTTCACCTTCCTTATAAATAGATAAATTCTTATTAATCATTGTAAATCAGAACCAATTTTAGGTTATAAGTGGAAATTTACGTCAGCCATTTTCCTTTGCAGCGCCGCCATAGCCGCACTAATAGTTTTCTCAAAAATGAATAACACTTTCGAATAAAATACTTTTACTTAAAAAATAAAGCGATTCAGTTCTTCGGACTGTTCCATTTTATTCTGGAACATCCTGTATACGATTTGCAATGTTTGCTTGCGTAAACTGCGTCACTAATTACTGGTTTAGTTCTCTTTCCTTATCAACGATTGTATCATAAATACTTCTGGTGAATAATGGTAATGGCTTTAAATAGCATTGAACGTTTCTGCATATAATATACAAATCGTATACATTTTTTTTACGCAAATGGAAATTAAGTTTTTTCCCTCATTCCAAACCTTGTGCACATCAGTTTTAGTATTTAATTAAGGACGAATGAAGTATATGAAGAGGAAACGTCTTAATTGCATCGTAACTTGAGGATTACACGATAAAAAATTCATCCGTTGATAAATCCCGTCTAACTAAACCATAAAATTGAAATGGACGACTCATTAAACAAAGATGTTGTATAATCATGTAGGTTTTTTTAAACGTGTAACGAGAAGTTGGTTCAAAAGAAAGATCGCTGTAAAAGTGACAGATAATTGTCTGCTATATGACTGCTGGATAAATGTCCGCTATACAGTTGACTACTTAATAACTGTCCTTTATTGTTCGTTATGCAATTGACTACTTAATAATTCTCCTCTATTATCCGCTATACAATCGACTGCTTGCTACTTGTCCGCTATACAATTGACTGCTTGATAATTGTCCGCTATACAATTAATAATTGTCTTTTATACGATTCACTGCCGGATAATTATCCGCTATACACTTGACTACTTAATAACTGTCCTCTATTGTCCACTATACAATTGATTACTTAATAATTCTCCTCTATTATCCGCTATACAATCGACTGCTTGCTACTTGTCCGCTATACAATTGACTGCTTGATAATTGTCCGCTATACAATTAATAATTGTCTTTTATACGATTCACTGCCGGATAATTATCCGCTATACACTTGACTACTTAATAACTGTCCTCTATTGTCCACTATACAATTGATTACTTAATAATTCTCCTCTATTATCCGCTATACAATCGACTGCTTGCTACTTGTCCGCTATACAATTGACTGCTTGATAATTGTCCGCTATACAATTAATAATTGTCTTTTATACGATTCACTGCCGGATAATTATCCGCTATACACTTGACTACTTAATAACTGTCCTCTATTGTCCACTATACAATTGATTACTTAATAATTCTCCTCTATTATCCGCTATACAATCGACTGCTTGCTACTTGTCCGCTATACAATTGACTGCTTGATAATTGTCCGCTATACAATTAATAATTGTCTTTTATACGATTCACTGCCGGATAATTATCCGCTATACACTTGACTACTTAATAACTGTCCTCTATTGTCCACTATACAATTGATTACTTAATAATTCTCCTCTATTATCCGCTATACAATCGACTGCTTGCTACTTGTCCGCTATACAATTGACTGCTTGATAATTGTCCGCTATACAATTAATAATTGTCTTTTATACGATTCACTGCCGGATAATTATCCGCTATACACTTGACTACTTAATAACTGTCCTCTATTGTCCACTATACAATTGATTACTTAATAATTCTCCTCTATTATCCGCTATACAATCGACTGCTTGCTACTCGTTCGCTATACAATTGACTGCTTAATAATTGTGCTCCATACGCTTGACTGCTTGATAAATGTCCGCTATACAATTGACTACCTAATAACTGCCATCCAATTGACCGCTTGCTAATTGTCCACTATTCGTTCCTTACTTAGCTGCTAGCCACTAGTCTGTCAGATAATGTTACCTGCATCGAATTTGATAAAAATTACCGCCTTCTAAACACACCAACCTCACACGCCAACTACTGACTTAAAGAACAGTACAAATGTACATACAATTTACATTTATCAAATATTTAAATACTCAAACTGTCCAAGTAATGTCAAGTTCAAAGTCGGATGCAGTTCTCATAGCATCACAATATGGAAGTTTTTCCACCACAGATGTTGAAGGACGATCTTAACACTTATCATTGAATTGTTCGACCCAGACCGATATAATCGATGTTTCCGGTAGTAACAACTTTTTATCGCTCCGCGTTAGTCTCAGGGTGTGGTAAAACTTTGTCAAAGACGCTATTTAACGTTGACGGGTGATCACAGGCACAAGTGCTCGGTTTGTCGTTCCAGAATGATGCTCGCTTTGTGTCTCGTCCTGCAATTGTGCGTGTTGGTTGCATCCCAGAAGACGGGATTGGACTCTCCGGAAAATTTGTTTCTCTTGCGTACCTTACGGAAATTGTCTTTTACCATTTTCGGTAGGTGATCTACGAACTATGGTATCTTCCTCGACGGTGCCATTTCGTGCGGTGTCTCGTGGGACTTCGAGATTAAAAGTTTCGTGCAAATTTGTGCTCCGAATTTTTTCTCAGAAACCGGTGTTTCACTTATTTAGTTCATTATATTCTAATACATTTTTACGCCATATTTCGACCAGTTACGGTCGTTTAAACACACCAGAAGACACGAGTGTTTATCGCTGTCACTGGCATTTTTATTTTCTTTTATAGACAGATAACTTTTTTTCTGACTTCAATTATCGTATCGGGCCTGCAGAAATCGTTCCATAAAACTTTATTAAAATTTAAGAGAAACTGCGTTTAACATCGAAAGCTACGTCCACAATTCAGCACACTAACAGATTCCACAAATGAACATCGTTGTCATCAATTATGCAAATAATTTTATTATTTACTAGCAGCTTCAGTAACCTTTAGAATAATTTCTGCGATAACCTAAATAGAAAGCTGTTTCTATAATAAGCAGATCACGGCCTAACAAAAGCAGTTACATCTGTCATTATTCGCACTAGAAATCAAGGTCCCAGAATATCATTAACATCGAAGTAAACATCGACACAAGAAATCGATTAAACAGTATCTCTAACATCATAAAAAAATGTGACGATTGTTTGCTGATTAATAAAACATCGTTTTGCAGGGGGGACCGATGAGTATCGGAGAGCGTCACCCGAAAGCCGATGGCGCATGCAGCCGGAAGTTCCTCCGCACGTTCCGTTCCTCTGCAATGTGACGGGTCTCTAATTAACAGAATTCGAAGAAATAAGCTTCTGTTCTTCACAATCTTAATAATCGAAGGTATTTTAGGCGGAAGATCACCGGTGGTGCCGGATTCGGTTCACCGTTTGAGGCCGGGGGACATAGACGTGATTGGTGCACTCGGTGATTCGCTGACGAGTGGTTACGGAGCTCTTGCGTCGAACATTTTAGACTTTCCCATCGATTACAGAGGAGTCGCGGCGACCATAGGTGGTCAGGGAAACTGGCGAACGTATTTGACGGTTCCTAACATTCTCAAGGTACGTTATCTCGGATCTCTGTGTCATATCTACAATTTCAAGTCCATTTCACTTGCATTTACCTAACGTTATTAGACGGTATCTTCCCGCTGCGTAAATTCCCGGTTGCGCGCGTCGCACGTGCGCGCGCACCCGTTTTAAGCACCGATTAGCTGCTTGCGTCACGCAATGGCGTCTGAGAGGAAGAAAATGGAGTCGCGAGAAAAGCGCGCGTTCCGTAACTTTCTGCTCTCAGACCCCCTGACGCGGGAAAATATCTGGGTGCTACTGGGACTTATCGACCGTTATCGGAATGCGATCGCGAATTCTCTTGCAGGAATACAATCCGAATTTAATAGGCTATGGGCTTGGGACTTCCTTGGCTTTTGAGGAGGCTGCGCAGTTGAACGTCGCTGAAGACGGCGCGATAAGTAGAGACATGCCCTTTATGGCCAAATATCTGATCAGGAAGATGAGGCGGGATCCTAGGATAGATATAAGAAAACATTGGAAGGTAAGTACCTCTATTATTTTCAAGTAATTTGGTCAACGATTGTCACTGTCAATTGGTTAAGTCAAGAACATATTACTGTACTTAATACGACAGTATTTTATCGCACACTGCGATGTGATATCCACTGTATAATAATAATAACTGTTTCATATTTTGGTTATGTTAATTTCTTGCAGCTAATCTACATATTTATAGGCCACAATGACATCTGTACCGATTCTTGTTACGTGCCGCGGATATTGGACGTCGTGGAAAATCACAGAACGGATCTGATCGAGACCCTGAGGATACTGAAGAATAATTTACCGAGGACTCTCGTTAACATTATAATGACAGCTAACTTGAAGACGCTGTCGGAAGAAGCAAATGAACGAAGAACGTTAGAGTGCTATTTTTTGCCACGAGTAGAGTGTCCATGTTTATTCGGACTCCCACATCAACACCGAAGGGCAGAAATCTATGATGTACTTAGAAGGTAAATGTGCTTTCAGAAAATTGAACGTCAGGATGCTTTAAGGGACTCGTTTACGGTGTCTATATTTATTTCGACTATTACTTTATTAGGTTCCATGAAGTGGAAATGGAGGTTATACGTTATCCAGAATTCAATAGCAAAGATTTCACGGTGGTATCTTCTCCTATAGTTTCCAATTCCTATATACCGCGTACATGTGACGGACGTAGGGATTTGTCATATTTCTCCATTGACTGTTTCCACATAAGCCAGAAAACTAATGCAATGTGTACGTTATATAAACCTTTGAAATACTCGCCACATTTGTTAGGTAAACGCTCGCTATGTGCACGTCCGTTTAACGCACGATAGGTCGCCCCTCTCTCATGCGCGCTACTAGCGCACGCACACGTTTCTTGCTCTGACCAATGAACGGACGAGTAGCGGGAGAGGCGCGCGCAAGACTACGCGCATTAAGCAAGCGTTTACTTAAGGCGCTGTCAATCGGAAAGCCTCGAGTCGTGTATTTAACGAGTCTTTCCAGTTAAGCTACTAATTTCTCAATTCTTATGATATTTTCAAGTTGCCAACGGTCTGTGGAACAACCTGTTGGAGCCAATTGACAACAAAACCGACTCTTGGGGTCCGCTGTTCGAAAAATTTTTGTGTCCCACACCGGAGAGGCCGTTTATAGTAACGCGAGAAAATTCCCAGATGATGTTTGGTACTTCATAGCAAGATATGTAAAATATTGAACGAAGTATCTCTTGTACCGATGTCGACGAGTTGGCGCGCGAAGAGAAAAAATCAACAAAAATCTGCTGACGCTCAGCTGACGCCAAACCGCCATTTGCAATCGGTGTACATTTAAGATGGCGCCCAAAAGTACAATACCGATGTTAACCCACGAGTTGGCGCACGGAGCCGACGTGTTTAGAAGAGCTAGTCAGAATAGAAAAATGGACGCCTCACACGTATTTTCGGCGGAACAATTGGCTCTCGCCGGTCACGCGCACCGATTAGGCGAAAAACAATGAGAGTCGGCAAACGTCTCTCGAGTGAGCGAGATAGCCATTGCCTTCTGCAGTTGTTGTCATTATTATTCTTATGCGCCGAAATGTAACTGGAAGTGTTCACGGTGAGGAGCTTCTTTTACTTTGGGTCACGCGCCATCTCGTGGGTTATCTGTATGTCGATTGTCGACATCTGAAGCTGTCTAAAATTTGAAGGTATCGTGTGGACAGTTACCGAGAGCACCTATCTAAAGTCTCTTTCAAATGGGACATAAACTTCCATGTGGACACTTATCAAGAGCTATCTAAAACTTGAAGCCGTCCATCTGACTCGTGGGTTGACATCGATACCTATTTTCTCACGGTGTGAAAATAGGTCATGTGTGATAATTTATAATAGTCGATTCAAAATGCGATTTTACCTGGCGATAGTATTTATTTGTACAGCGCGTTTATTCTCACTTGATGGGAATTCGAATCGAGAGTCCACTTGGGGAAACTAAATGAAACAGGAAATATTAATCTGCCTATTTTATTCAGTATGTGGGTCGTTGAACCGTAGCAATGTGGTAACTTGTGACTAAAAGATCTTTTGCTTATATGGGAACATTGTGAAAGTGGGCTCGATATATTTCGCGAACCACTCAATTTAAATGTCAAAGACTATGCCAAAATTACACTCTTCGATTTTATCTCTGTTTATGTAGGCACCATTCGAGGAGTTTTGGGTATATGGGAAGGCAGATTTTTTAGAATTTGGGAATTTGTGAAATTGGGGATTTGAAAATTGGCATTCGGG